TACCTGCCAGGTGTGCCACTGAGTTTAGAGGCAGGGGGGGTGAACTTAACTAGAAATTAACTGAAGCCGCAGTGTTTGAATTAAAAACTAGATTTCAGTTGAAAATTTTACAATGTTGAAAGTTGTTTGATGGTGCTCTTTTAAATCATTTTCATGCTAAGTGGACTAGAAAGTGCAGAAGTGTGTTTAGATGTGGTGTTTGGGTTCCATCTCTTCAAGTACAGATGACTGCAAAATTAGGCACTTTGTATTTCAAATCTAAATCTGAACAAAATCAAGATCTATCCTATACTCTTGAACCAGAGTAGGAAATGATGCAATTGAGTAGTGTTGTTTTTTTTTTTTAAAAAAAAAAAAAGTCATTTTTTAGTAAATCAAGGACAGTAAAATCTTGGACTCCTCAAAAAGATGATGCTTTTGTAAAATGAATATTATTTTCTGGAGGAAAGAACTTAGGAAAATAATGAAACAAGTATTAATTTGCAATTGTAATGCCTCTGATTAGTCCCCAACCCAAGTTGACATTTGCTCATTTTAATTTAAAAAATTGAGAATTGTGTTTGTATTTTCTACTCCCTGTTTCACAGCAGAGGGATTTAAAACATGTCCAGACCTATGATGTCTCAGTTATCGTTGCATCTTACAATCTCCAATTAATAATATTTTAGCTTTCTGTGACTGCAGAATGAAAATGCATTCCTGATTTACCTAAAATTGGAATTAGCTCGGTTACCTAAAACTGACGAAGATGTCGTACATTCCAGAGAACGCTAACAAACACAAAGCCAATAACTTCATTTAGATTTAACCCTTATGCCCTTGAACACAATAGAGTTTACATAAATATTTAAGAAGGGCAGACGCAGACCAATTAAAGGAATATATTTCCCAAGCATCAAACCATTGTTTTCAGGCAATACACCGAAGCTCCTAAATTAATACACATTAAATCTGTTACAGGCTCAGCAGAGTTTGAGGCTCAGGAGAGGGAGAAGCAGATGAGGACACCCCAGGGGGAGGTCGGGGGGAGGCTGTCTGTGAGCAGCACAATCCATCGCCCAGCTTGCAGGGTGTCTGCACGGGCTGCTGCTGTCCACAGGCTGCCCTGAAAATCCCCGCAAGGAGAAGAGGGCATAAGCATCCTTCTCATCAGTTCTTCCAGGAGCAGGGAAAGTCTGTGGGCACACTGAGCAGGCTGCAGCTGCCTTCTTTCTGGTACTTGCTAAGTAAAATAGAGGAGCAGCTGTTTGACGGGAAATATATTTAAAGTCTTTTCTTTTTTTTTTTAATGCTTAAAAATAAAAATGTTTTTAGATATTTTAGAATCTCTCCCATGATGAGATGTCTAGTTTCAGGCTAGTCCTACCCAGGAATATTTAGTGAAAGACTGCACTTCATATCCACTCGGATCAGACTAGATGCTGAATGAGGCTGCTGTTACAGAGTGTGCAGCATGAATAATAGAAGGGTGCTTCTCATATGCACAGCGGTGTGAAAGGTGTCACTACCCAGCCCAAGGAAAATAAATTTGGAAATAATCAGGTTTGTTGCCCCCTAATTGTGGCAGCTTGTTAAGGCAGGATCGGGTTTTATCAGGCTATGAACTATGAGAAAGTGTGGCTTGCAAAAGACTAATGTAGGCAGGGGCAGAGCCATAGCAGAGTTTAGGGAAAGAGAAGATGGAAAGACAGGATTCAAGAGAAATGGAAAATGGAGTAGGGAATTTTAAGAAGAAGAGGGGTTCGAGGAAAGAGCATTGAAGTATGTCTATGAATAGGGAAAGAGACATTACAACTAGTGAGGAGCAAAAGAAGAGTGCAGATTACAATATGCTCTCTGCTGAAATAAATTGCCTATATTTTGTGCTGAAAGAAGTAAAAGCTAAAGTTGTGGAGGGCAGGGAGAGAAAAAAAAGGGGGGATTTCAAGCATAGCATCAGTTCAGATGGAGAAATGGAGATGTTAATCTAGGCTGGTGGCAGAAGGAGACGAAGCGGGAGAGAATGAATTTGTAATGGAGAGTTAGGTTTCAAGACTGTTTCTCCTAACATGCAATAGATTTTTAAAAGAAGGAAAAGATCGAAAACAGCAGTCTGGAAAGCGAGTATATATAATCCTGTAACAAGGAAGAAGGCATAAGCTTCTGATATTGTGTTCATCTTAAAAACAGTAAGGTTTTTGAAACATTCACTGAGTACTCTATTCAATTGCTGTTCTCATCTGATGTATGCATTAGTGACAGGAGTAGTCACCTTCTCTCAGTGCTTCATCCCAACCTAGAGTTGTATTTACAAATAAATGGACTAAGCAAGGTATCTGTGACATTTTTGTATTTATTCAACTCTTCAGACTTTGGAATTTTTCAGTACATTTTTTTAGCAAAATGCGTGTGTCCTGACTGTTAATTTTTTAATAAGGTTCATGAAATGTCTGACATCTGAAACACTAGGAGGAGTGGTAGAAAATTGCTTTTAGATTCCTCATGTACTTCCAGTTGGGGAATGCATGGCCGTAATTGTGGAAGTCATGAAATTGTTAATTAAAAACTTCATAGCTGTGTTGCATCTTTTTTAAACATTAAATGATTTTTTTTTATTCATATAAAGCTATGCACGTGCAGATTTTAAGACAGAGTAAGTGGCCCTGTTTCTCTGCGTAATTACGTAGATAAATCAGGAGTTGGCTGCTGGTATTTGCAAATCATGTACGTGGCAGATAGAGCAAGTGAGAGACCAATGTTCTGCAGTGTTCCTTTGGTGACCTGGAGTGGTATATAATGTACTCCGTTCAAAAGGACGGATGCACTCCCTCTACCACCTAAGTGAGCATCTCTAACCTATCTGTTGTTAGTAAAGAGCAATATTTTGAAAAAAGCCTTTTCACACCTTTTCTCTCCATTGATTATAGAGAACTTCAAGATGTCTGGCTTAACCAAGAAACCAGACTTTTGGACAGCTCACTTACAGGAAATAAAGCCTATATTTTCATTACCTGCTTTGTTCTAATGAACATCCTTCATTATTTAACATTCCTACAGTTTCAGAGAAAATAATAGTTGAATTTTATTATTTTTTTTTACTTCTGAAATTCTATACTTTCTACTAAAAGAAAATACAGTTGATACACACAGAAGATGCAACATCGATGTATAATATTCTCCTCACTTTCCTTGTTAACATGGCTTTTTAAACGTGATGATGTCCCACCACTGTTTCTGAGATTGCCTGAATTTATTTGTTTGCTCTTTATTACGTAAGGAATGATTTCTGCATGTTTGAATATATTTCTGTGTGGAGTGCTGACATTCTTATCCACACTTCACTTGTCATTTCTAGGCCAGACGGTTAATATGATTTCCTACTATGAGCTACTTTCTGTGTACGGTTTTAACATGTGTTGCAGTAAGGCAATGTATTAAAGTGCAGAAATGGATTATGGAAGAGATGGATATCAGACGAGAGTTGTTGGGTTGTTGGTGAAGTCAGTCATTGTGCAGTGTAAATATGTTCCTGACAGTGGTAAAGGGAAATGCTGGTGGAGTTCATATTCTTGTCCAGTCCTTCTCACATGAATATAGGCGAAAAAAAAGCATTTTATGTTTCTGGATAATATTAAAAGAGAAGGGGGCTGCAAAGGAGGGATTAGTGCTCCAATGGCAAACTGGAAAAACTTGGACTAACCAGCAGCATCTGAGCGGATCTTTTCTCTGGGAAAAGGCAGAGGTCTGTAAAGGTTCTGAAGCTGTTTTTTCTCATTGCTGTTGTGATACTGATCAGAAAGCTGAAGTTGTGCTGGGGTGCAGAGCTGGGCGCATCGCCCACAAGATGCACAAGGTAATCACTGTGTGGTGCTTCCAGGGGGGATGTGGGCTAACTTCAGGAAGTCAAGAGAGGATTGGTGTGAGTACACAGAGCTCTAGAAAACAGTTGTGAGGAAGTACCAGAAGAACCTGGGGTTGTTTAACCCAAAGAAGACTAAAGGAGAACATGATAAGTACCTTTGAATACCTAAAGTACCTAAAGTTCCCCTGCAGAAGTAAAGGGGTTCATTTATTTTCTTATCCTTTGTAGACAGAATGAGAAGTAGAGGGCTTGAAGTGCAGCATGAAGATAAAGGTTAGACATGAGGAGAAATTTTCTGATAAGGACAGATTGCTTGGGGAGACTGGAGACTCCATTACTATCTTCAAGAGCACCATAGGGGAGTAAGAGAGAAGATTTTGGCATGAAGTAGCCATGAAGTAGCCTACCTGGAATATAAACCACAAAATAAGTAACCTCTCAGCATCCCTTCCTAGACCATTTTTATTTGATCACAGTTGAACTAAGAAAGGAAAATACCCAGACTGGGCAAGTGATTCCAAATGTAAGATATGATAAAATAACCATGAGCTGCTTTTATTGACTTCACCCATAGCAAAGACAACATAGCATTTCAGAGAAGGGGCCATAAGCACTGAATTTGTATTAACTTCTAATATCACTGAACTATTGTTGCATTTACCAAGTCTTTTCCATGACTCGGATTCTGGCTGTTATGAAACTTCAAATTACCTTTTGTGTAGAAACCTTCTGGGAATTTTAAGCCTCTGGTATACCTAAGCTAAAAGGGCTTTTTCAGTGGGTTTCCATTTTTAAACTGTTCAGAGCGATTTCTCAAAATGTTATTTTCCTGCTTTTTGGGTTTTTATGCAATGCCCCAGCCAGTCACTGCAAGTAATGGTTGAATTTTCGGATGTGCCCTTCAACACACAAGTTTGAAGAGGTGATAAGTGCAGTGTGAACCTACAGCTGCTAAGATAATGTAGCTAAAAAAAAAAAAAAAGATCCTAGACAGCAATATATCAGAGCTGCTGCATGAGTACTGTTTTTTTTTGGATATCCAGGGATGACCCAAATGAAATTAATAGAAGAGGGGAAAAAATAATAGGTGAATAGGTTCTTGTAATGAAAGGTTTACTACAGAAGTTAGAGTTCTTAACAACAAAAAGCTTGTATGCTGTTACAGAAGAAATGCATTTTTATTGAAAATCCCAGAAGTTTTTGACAAAAATACTTTCAGTATAAGTATTGCATTTTTCAGGAGGGAGAGGGAAGCCTTAATATTCACTGGTTGGTTGGTTCGTTCTCATCAGCATTTCTACTAGTTTGTCACACATCACCATTATAGTCAGTCCTTGCCATATGCTCTTTTTGAAAGAACAAATACAATTTTCTTTTTTTGGTGTGCTCAAAAGTGTATTTCCTGCATCTAGGCATTGCTTTTTAACTCTTTTTTTCCCAAAATTTTGAGCACACCATTGAGTGCTGCAGTCAGTTTACCTTGATGAAGGTGTAGGCAGTGGTGGTGAGTTTTCCTTTCTGTGTGTGAAGAGCTAGCTTCTTCACTGAGTCAGTCCTCATGTGCATCTCTCTGCCAAGACATGGGCTGGTGAATCCATTTGCTCTACGTAAACCCCCAGGTAGTGATCAGATAGGAGCAACAGCTGGTCCTCACCTCTGCAGGAAGTGTTCAAGCTGGGAATTCAAAGGTAGAAGACTATATTACTAAAGCTCTTTTCTGTGTAATCCTTCAGGGAATACTTTTAAATATTGCACGTGTTCAACCTGGAAAACTCTGAGTGCCAGGGGATCGCTGAGGCAAATAATTTCAATGGGGTGTTTAAAGCCTGCTTAATTTTATAAGTATCAAAATTTTTTGTTGTGGACAAATGTCTGAAAGAAAGTTCTGATTTTTTGTTTTGTTTCATCCTCATGGATTCAAACACCTAATGCTATGAAAAGGTTTGGGAGAAACTAACTGCAAAATTAAAAAAAAAAAAAAAGAGAGAGAGAGAAAGGAAAGAAAGAGAAAAAGAAAAGAAAGAAAGAAGGACTTGCTGGCTTTCTCCTGTCCTAAGTTTCCTGTGTCTCTCTTTCATAATACAACGAGACACTCCAGACACCACATTTCTGGGGATTACCTTTGTTGGGGTTGAAGCCTTTGGCCTCATTCTTTTCCTCACAGTTAGAGCGCTTATAAGCCCCTGGAAAGACACTGTCTGTCATGTCTTGTTGCTTAAATATTGTGATCGAGCCTGTGAATAATCTCAGACTGCTCTGACATGTTCATAATAGCTTTTGTTCTACTCCTGTGCCCACACATTTCCATTCCTTGAAGTCCCCCAGCATGGTTTGCTCCAACGTCGACGTAGGATGTGGTAGTTTGACCAAAAGTGATGTGGAGAAATGAGACCAAAGCCTTTAGTTTGTGTGGGTGGTAATGATGGTTTAGAAAGTGCAAATGGCTCCTTTGTGGCAAGTGGCACAGTTAGACTTTGCTGGGCTCTTTTTCTCCCCAGCTTGGGGTTTCTTTCACCCGTTGGTGCGAGTTGCTCAGAAGCGGCTGGCGGAGCCAGCGGTGCCCTGCAGAGTGACATTTTCTTGTGTGGCTTTTTCGGTCGTTCTTTGTGCAGCAGAGGCTGTGCTCACACCAGATGCCAATCATACACCACCAGTGGATTTGCAAGATTATAGGACAGGAAAAAAGATGAAGGTTAAGCACAGGGCACAATAGAGATTACTTATGGTAATGAATTGTATAATTTTTCTAGACAGATCTGGATTAATGTTTATCCCAGGCAAGAGATTACTGTATGTCTGATTCTAGTTGTAAACAGACATTATTAAACAGAAGGTTTATGTTCATGAAATGCGACTATGGGTGTTAAAGCACTTATGATTTATTATGTGCAAAGAGAAAAATTAACCTGTTCATCTGCTATAGTACTAGATGTGCTGTGGATTTTTGCATAATTTGGAAGGCATCTGCTCCTTTGGAATACAAATAACGAGTGAAATGGGGAAGATTCTCCTCTCGTTTACACTGATCCAATGCCCTGCACTGCAGAGGAGTGGTGTAACCAGCAAAAGGATAGGCTTGTGTGCTTTTATAAAGCAATAATATTTCTATTACAGATAAATGTTGGCAAAGTCTGTTTGCTTGTGGATCTTTAGGGTTTTTACTTTACAATAATAAAAAAAAAAAATCTACATTGACATTTACAGAGCCTCACAAATGTTGACCTAATTTGGGTTTCCCAAATAATTCCCTTTTACTAATGGAAAACATTTAGAAAACTTTGAAATAAAATAAATAAGTAATATATATATATATAATCTATTTTTTTTCACGTAATTTATGTTGCAGTATATTTTTCATTTGGTTTACTACACTGCTGCTTACCATAAATGAGGTATAAATGGTACAACAATCAAATTTTTTAATACTGTTACCTTAGTAACTAAATAGTCACACCTGAGTCAGTGACTTAAATGTTTTAGGTGAGCTCAGAAATTCCTGTTAAAGAATCTGTAAACAAACTCCAAAACTTTGCTTCTTTTTCATTACATGCTAACAAGGAAGCATCTTTTCAGCGTGAAAGGGAAAGAAAAATTACAGTTATCAATAATCTATTCATTGTATTTTGTAGCCATAAGACTTTTTGCACAATGTTATTTGAAATTATCAATTTACCCGTGGTGGATGGATGATACAACTTCATTGGTTTCCTCTACTTTTTAATTGATCTGCCTACTAATAGATTGCATTGGTTATGTTGCTGGTGCTTTATTTGTAAAATTTGCTCATATTAAGTCTTACTGATTTTAAAGAGATTTCTCAGTTAAGTGTAGATATTCCTGTATATATGTAAAAATAACCCAATATGTGAAAAAAATGACAACAACAACAAAATTAAGGAACATGCAGCAAATATGAGATGCTCAGTGTGTTAAGTGAATTAGGTATTAAGCAGTTAAACTAGAACTGAGTACCATTATACATGGGATAGTCAGGTAGGAAGCTCTCAGTGCTTGAATATAAAAAGTTGCCATCTTAAATAGCAACTTAAATAGCCATCAAAACACTTAATACTGCTTTAAAAAAAAAAAAATATTTCTTAGATATTTACATTTGATGCAAGTGTTACATTTGATACAAAAATCAATACCACAAGAAAACACTAAGATTAACATTTGTCGTATCTTGTCTAATGATCAGATTTTATCCGATCATTTATCTGAAGTGTGAGCCCTGAGGTAAAAATTGTAAGAAATTAATTGAAAGGGGAAAGTTTGCGTGGGCTTCATTGGTAGGTCATACCAACAGCTGTAAAAGCAGCACGGTGCAGGTAGTAAAAGCAGCACAAACTTTTGAGTTCTGTCAGACTGCAGGTGAGAAGGTGAGGTTTTCAGGAAGCCCAGCTGAGGTGAGCAGTACTGCCTAAAGCTTTGTGCAGTGAAGCATTACATTTCAGGGGGCAAGAAAGCCTCATCTGCGCTCTTTTCTTCGCTGTGTGTTGGCAGACATCTATGAGTCATTACAACCTCCATCTTCGAAAGAGAAGCAAAGATGGAGATGAAGACAGGTCTCTGTTATCAGCCCGCTGTGGGTCACGAGTCGAACGGGTGCTGCATTTCCCCCTGGAAGGCTCAGAGCCATGCCACGGTGCTCAGCGGTACTAAGCTTATTGCTGCTGAGCTGAACACGGCTGCAGCGAATGGTGACCCTCACGTCTTCGTGATAGCAAAACGTCTCCCTGATGTGATCCCACGGACTCGGAGCATTAAGTTAATTTTCCCCTGGATCTCTGAGCTGCGTCCTCTTTACCCGGCGGAAAGCTGGTGAAGAATACAGCTTTTGACCGACTGACAGAACACGGAGAGTGAAATTAGATGCATTAAATTAGAATATGACAAAAAGCCTATCTAAATATTTGTCACAGGGCTACGTACGGGGTGTCGCGTCCAGTCCAGGAAGTGAAAGGAGGCCGCTGGTGGGACTGTGTAGTCTGGGGGGGGAAATTGGTAAATCATCCAGATTCATTACAAGCTTTGAGGGGATAATTAAGGGTATTGAGTGGGCTGTTACACTTCCAGGGTTGGTGATCCCTCTGATGTAATCTCAGATTAGTTCTTGTCTTGTCTTCACCTAACACAGAATTAACCAGTACAAAGTTTGCTGCACCACACAAGTAAATAATGGTGTTACTTGCCTGTGAGAGGACATATAGCATGTTGGCTTACGCGATGTGCACCTTCCCCACAATCAAGAAATCACCAGAAAACAAACAAACAAAAACCCCAAACCCTCAAAACCCAAAGAACCAAAAAAGCCAGTGCAAACACATAAGCTGTGAAATTTTCTAATTTGTACTAGAATGTTTGCAATGTTTATTTTCCAGTTAACAAAATTATTTTATTGAAAACCAACATTTGTAATTAGTGGCCAGTTAAACAGAAAGAGCTCAAGATGTGCAACTTGATTTGGCCACATCTGTTCATCTTTAAACTAAATTTATTCCAACTTTTTTTGCGGTAAGAGAGCAAATCACTGACCTATAATTTCCTCCACAGAAAGTTTTAATTAGAAAAAATTTTAAAAAATAAATTCAGCATACATTTACCTTTTTTTTTTTTTTTAATTTCTATTTGAGCAGTTCAAGGAGGAATGTGCCTATGATAGGGTTAATCCAGCTACATAAAAATCCATGCTGTGTATGATAGTAGTAAAGCTTGTGATCCCTTGATCTTTGATTAGATCCGAGCTAGTAAATATCTTGTGTTTAATCAGAATGAGTTGTTCTGCATGTAGTATAAGTCACCTTCACAGATGGGATGTAGCATCAGAGTTGTTCGTGAATATTTGTTTTAATCCTTTCCAGAGCAAGCATGCTTTATGTTTCTTTGTTGTAAATCAGATTCAAGCAACTAAAGACCAGCACGAAGGAAAGACGTTTACTTGCAGTTAGGAATAGGACAGCGTGAAAAGGACAGGAATAGGACATTTTTTCCTTTGTAAAGAAAAATATAACTTGCTAGAATTTTGAAAGGTATATTATACTATTCCCCAAACATAACTAACACACCATGGCTGCTTTTTCAGGATGGATTACAAATATAATTATCTAGAATTTCATCTTAAACTGTTCATACATATTTCTGGCTTAGCAGACTATACACATACAAAGTCTAAGATTTATTACGGTTAATGTTTGGCCACTATTATTATTCTTTATGTTAAAGGTATTTAATTAGAATGGTAGCTTTTTTTGTGTGCTGGTAAATGGAAATTCTTAAAACCTTATCTGTAAAGCTAATCGTTTAGTGTGGTATGTCAGCGTCCTATTTACCTAAATCTGTCATAATTGCCTTCTGATACATCTTCCTTTGACATGCAAAATATTGAAAACGAGAGGACTCTTCGCTGTGAGATTTTCTGCGGAATGTAATTTTTCTGTGTTCATAACTTTATGGTAATAACTGGACGACCTGTAGTTAAATGCATCTCAATTTCTCCCTCTTATTTTTCATAATCACCACACAGAGCCTTCTGTGCTCAGAGGTGTGATTAGATTTAACCTGCCGTCATATCTGAAGAACTTTCTGTACAACATATTATACATTGTAAGAATTATATGCGTAGATGGTAGGTCTAAGTGTAATATATAAATAGATATAAAGATGAGTTGCTCTCATGCCAAAGCTAATTCCTGATTTTTTTTTATGTTTTTAACAGGAAGACTGGAGAGCCCCCACTAATAAATGGCTGGATTCCTTACCTTGGGAAAGCTTTGATTTTTAGAAAAGATGCTTACAAATTCTTACTGGATCAGCAAAAGAAACTTGGAGATATTTTCACTGTACATATTGCTGGTGAGCAGTATTTTTGTACTTCTCTTGATTTTTCCATCAGTGATGTTAAATATTAATTCAGATGTTTAATTTAGAATCTTACTTAACCAAAAACATTTCAGCATACCATAGGATACAATACATTAAATTCAAATGTTTTATATACATAAAAAGTATCCACAATATTTAGTTATGGTTATGTGTATTTATATACAGCTATAGGTATATATGCATATCGACAGAATTTTTAGACAAGTAATGTCTGAACATAGATTTTCCCAACACATATAAACGTGTATTGTTTTTTTTGTGTGTTTTTTTTTTTTTTTTTTCCTAAGGAAAGGAGAACTAACATCATCTTGACACTGCACAGAAAAATATCAGATTAAATTTAGAAAACACTTAAGAAAAAAAGTGCAGAATATGTTCTCACACATTTTACAACTGGTTGACAGGAACACAAGGGAATGAATGACACATTGACTCAGTGATACAATCAGGACTGGAACACAGAAACTTCCTGTTGCCAGTCTCTTACTCTGATCATGCTTGCTGAAAATAACAATATAATAAAGTATGATATAACCTTGCTGCTTTCTGTATTTATAGCTGTTTTACTACGCTAGCTCAAATACAAACATTTGAGTGATTTCACATATACACTGAAATGTACCAGAAAAGCACAGAATGAAACTGGAATCTTGAATGAAACCCAAATATATAAATTTACATATATATATATATATACACATTTTACTAAAATCATTTTAAGATCAAGTATTTTCCTTTGTTCAGAAAAAGGCAAACTCCTACTAGTAGGTAGATGTTATGGATCTTTTGTCCCTCTACATGCTGATATCCTTGTTCAAATGATGAATTTTATAGTTGCATCAATTATTACTTTACAGTTAAGTCTACCTCATTTTTAGCTATTCATGTATTTTTAGAGAGTTTCAAAAAAATGTAAAATGTAAAGTTTGCTTGTTAATTTTGTGGCAGTGATTCTAGCTTTATTTTTCCATATAAACAATGTTTTGCAATACAAATATTTATTTTCTTCAGAAGTCTATTAATTAAATTACAAGCAGAATGTTTAATTAACATTTTTTTTCTTCCTGTTACCGAATATATTCTATTGTCCTTTGGAAGAGCATTTTACTGCTGTTAAATGTATTTTTTACTATTATTCATTCTTTTTTTATTATTATTCCTTTGGAAATTGTTGTGTTTCATCTTGAAGTGAGTTTAACACATGTTCAACTCTAATTTTATTTGAAATAGTCTTTTTTATTGTTAATGTATACTCACATGATAATGAGTGAGTACAATAATGGCTTCTTGTGAGTAAAATTAATAATAATTCAAAGACTTACCATAGTGCATTCATGAAAGCAGATACAGTCATACTTCAGAATCCTTAATTTGTTTAACCAAATAGTTATTTCTCTTTCCCCTTTTTATTGTTTTATATAAGACTGTATTTAGAGATTTGTGTCTTTAAGCAATCTGTGAGTGTAATTTAGTTTAATGAATTTCTGTTTGCATAATAAGCAGAATTCCATTTCAACTCATCTCCCTATTTTTAGGTATTTTGCAAAAGCTTTCATATGTACAGGTAAATAGACTGAGTTACGGATATTGTTTCAGCCTTATACAAGGAAATCTTTGGTTTTGTGAATTTGTTGTATTGGAGATACTACCTCAAGTTCTCTTTTTTCAGTGTAAACATACTGACCATCAAGTTTTCACTGAGAAACAGCTTGTCAATCACAACTTGAAAAAGAAGATGAAGCTAGTTGGTAGCTCATGTCCGGTCCTGATTCCGAGACATGCAGGCTTTCTGTGTGTCTCAGTGATTTGACAAAGATGATGTTTGTATGTTCAGCAAACATAACGTAGCCGGCTGTGTATGTACTATCATTACTTTAGCCCCCTGGTGAGTGACTACAGGTTCTGTCAACAAATCCTATCAATATGTATTGTTCTAATTATTGGTTCTCAAACTAGTTCATTTGGAAAATGTGGAACGATGCTTGGAGTTTCTGTCATTGCCCCGTACCGGTAATGCGATTTCGCTGATTGTACTTTCCCATGTGATGAGCGAATGATTGTCATCCCTAAAAGTCGCAAGGGACATGGATGTCATCTTAATAAAGAAATTAAAAAGCACATCTTTCTATGAGAAACAATGTAAATTCCTGACCTGTCGCAGAAAATAGTTCTCTAATTGGTTTTGTGTGGTGGTGCAGCAGAATCGTTTTCCCCAAACGTCATACCGGCGAAGCACTACTGTACATCATTGTCAGCAGTTCAGCAGAATCTTCCTAATAAGAGGACGATTACGTAAATGCGATAGTCTTCAAAAAAGAGAGAGAGAGAAAAGAAAAGAAGAAGGAAGGGAAGAGAGAAAGAGAGAGATACTGAGTGGTTTTTTTTAGATGACAGTATGTCCCAGCCCAAGCTTTCTGCTTGCTAAGGATCAGCCGGGTAGGCAGACAGCTAGGTAAGAACATAAAGAACTTGAAGCAGTTTTCTCACAGTTTCTTGGGATTAAACTTTGTCTCCGTTTGATGATACATTATTAGGAATGATACTGAGCATTGCAACACTGTCAATGAGACTAATTCAGATTTTGATAAAGTAATCTGTCTTCCGGTGTTTTTGCTAAGCACATTTGGCCTTTTATAATTCTGCTAATAAGTCATTCTTTTCTTTTAAATCATGACACACCTACAGTAAAATACCACATTTTTCTGTCTTAGGCAAAAGGTAATTTCCATGAACCCCTTACAAAGCTGAAGTGTGCTGCAAGCATTACTGAAATAACATCCATCATTATATGTCATATGAAATGCTTGTCTTTCATCATTAGCATTAAAAAGCTCCAGAATGCATTATTAGAGTAATTTCTTAACTATCATACAAATACTGGCTTCTGTGCTCAGATTTACCAAAGTTGACAATTTTCATATTTTCCACATCAATCTTATTTTTCTAGGAGACTGTGTAAACTACAAGGAGATAACCAAGCTATTTGCAGCACGGTTGTAATGCAAACTGAAGGATTGGACAAGGAATATAAATTCTCTGAATCCATATTAAAAAAAAAAAAAAAAGCTCAGAGGGCTTTTTAGAGAAACAAGTATACATTTATTATTTTGACTTTTTTCTATTGTACTAAATAAAAAAGCCAAACTACTGAGATTTGGAGTGTGACATTTCTGTATGACCTGGGTTTTTTGTTTTGTTTTGTTTTTATGTGTGTGTGTTAAAGGTATTTTTTTGCATTCTAACAAGGAAAGGCATTGTGCTTTCAGTGGTTTCTGTATAAATACATCAAATAGTTAAAGCTTCGTGATTTGGAAAGCATGTGGCATTCCTCCACTTTTGGTTGATCTGACATTTACTTTTGCCAGTACTCTGATGGAAACTCACAAGAATCAATATTTTGGTACCGTTTTAGAAAAGACTACTACAAGAGGTAATTCTTGGCATTAGCTGCAATGGAAAGGCATGGGAGGTGTGAGAGGGAATGCATTTTAAAATACTGTATAGTAAGTGGAAACTTGAGGAAAGGTTTCTATTTGTTGGTATCAAACACCACCAGGGACAATAAGTGGGAAGAGACTTCAACAGCGACAATGAAATGATTTGAAAAGAAAAATGAATTGCAATATTGACACTCAAAACTTTAAAGTCATACCTTGAGGTCAGAACATTTGTTAGGGTTTGGATGTTTGCTCTTCAGATCTTGAAGGGTGCTTAGGGTAAGGGAGATGTTAGGGCATGACTTTCTAATTCTGAGTGTTGCTGGATGGAAGGCAGGCACTGTGGTAACCTGTGCGGCTGCAACCGTGTGCAAGAATGACTGTAATTGCTAAGGCTTCCGTAACCAATCTTACAGCAATAACTTTCTAACTGCAGATTTTAGTCTTTAGATTTTAATCATTTTCTAATGAAGAGATCTAAAATTAGATCCTCTCTGAGGTACATAGACAAGCTGCCTTTGTTATTCAGGGGTTCCACTTTCCTGGCTAGAGACATTTAATAAATACAGTAACAAAAGTATTTTTTTTTCATGTGTTTATACATATTGTTGACTTGCAGGGGAATGGTCTGGAGCCTGAACTGAATTCTACAATATGAGTATTTTGGTACATACTCACTTTTTTTTCTACCAGGAACCTGATGAGAATAATAAAAATCAGGATCCGTGATGTTCTGTTTGTTAGAGATTTTCTCATCCAAAGTGTGCTACTGTTGAGAGAGTTTTGATTTAAAATTACTGCTAAAATAGTTTGTTTGTCTGAAAACCCATTTGCTGAAAA